GCTGAAACAGAGGAAATCCTCAAAGCCTCCCTTTTTGGAAAGAATAAATGCCAACAATGTATATTTCTTTCTCTTAATCCACACTGGTTAAAAATACTAAATCATGCATGTATTCAGTGCTTTGAGACAATGCTTATTAAAAGGGCTGGGCAGAGGGTAACACTCTTATTCAATGTTCATCATAAGCTTGATTGCAATATTGTCTTCCATACTCACTGTATAGTGCTCAGTGCTGAGACAGTAGCTATTGCAATGAGAGGCTTTTTAGTTTTTGTGACCTCTGCATGCAGAGTTTAAATTAAGAAAGAATGCATGTGCAATGTAAATTGTCTAAGACTTGTTCTCAAAACTGACTTTAGAGTGTTGGTTCCATTAAATTAAAATAAAATCTAGGCTCCATTACTTCTGGAAACAAAACTTCTGCCATTAAAGCACTGAGGTGCTTTTAAAAACTTCTTATATTTTTAAAAACATTGAGAAAGAAAAGCGTGTTGAAGTCTAATGTTCCAGCTCTTTGAGCATGCCAGGCAGCAAGGTTTTTTTTACTGTCTCTTAAGGTTGGTTTTGTTAGTCAGTGTCTGCAAATGCAGGTATTTCAGTGGGCTTTGTAGCTAGTTGTTTCTTTGCACTGTTGTAACTGCACTTGGTGCTTAAATCACAGTTCTTAATGATCGTGGAGAATTTTTCTTTCCTGAATTAAAAACTGTGTGCTTAAAACTTTCTCCTTCAGTCATGTCCTAAAATGGTGGGGAGATTGAGGATGGTTCTTGGTATCTACAAACCATGTCTGCCGGCAGGGATCCAGCCTGCCTGACCTGAGGGTCCCTTTCCCCGTGAGCCCCAGGGAACTGCAGGCAGTGCACACAGATAAAGCAGTTTGCCCTGGTGAAGTTCGAGGCTTTCCATATAGTGTTTACAGATGCATCTTCTAATTGGTTCAAGTCCAGAAATATGCTGTTTAGTGTTTACCTCTTAACTTTGGGGTGGGCCACTTGTGCAGTGAGTTGTGGGTCTCCAGCAGCCCTGGTAAACTCCTAGAATCTCACTCCTTCTCCCTGGAGTAATCTGGGAGCCTGATGGCTCTTGTTGACAGCACAAACAACTCGGGAGTCAAATCCCTCTCCTGGGCACCAGCCGAGTGATGTAGTGAGTCTCATATTTCAAAGGCTTAATTACTTTTACAAAATATATTGCTCTCTGTCTGCTTTGGTAAGTTATCAGGTGCTTTCAGTGCAGGCAGAACTACACTTTGCTAAATGAATGAACAAAGAGTGTTTTGCATCTCAGTGTTGTTGATTGTTTCTCTTCAATCATGGTTACTCCTCCTTTGCTAATTTGCAAAGTTCATTAATCCACAGTGGGTTTCCCAATCATTACCATGAGCAGCACTTTTTGCTTTGTTGTGTGTTGGTTTAGTTCTGTTTTGTTTTGGATTTTTTTTTTAAATTGCCACATTATTCTCCAGTAATAGCCTAGAACACCATTGTAAGCAATAGAGTTCTGGGAATTAGGAAGGAGCCATTGTTTGCTGTGCTGCTCAGTGAGCTGTCAGGACATTTTGGAAGGATGTATCTTACTGTGGCATTAGTGTGGTTTTGTCAATCATTAGTGCTTGTTGGAGGTAAACAACTTTCTTTGGAGCATGCTAACTTTAACCCACTTTTTGCTTAAGCCAACATTGGAAGGATTTAAATTCTTCTGGGGAGTGGTGTGGAAATTCATCATAATGTGCCGCTTTTTCTACTAGTCCTTATTCCTTCTCCCATTCTTTTTCATAAGATACTGACTGGAGAAACACCTCTATTTTGAATTCCTTCACAGCTTTCAAGGCCTCAGTCTCTTCCCAACTTGAGTGTGATAAGAAGACACCATCCTGTCTGGAAGTATTTCAGCAACATGGATAACCTGGGTTATCTCATGCTCTGAAATAAACACATGAGCAGAGAATGCACTTCATGTGACTGATTCACCAGTCCTAGCCAGGCCCAACCTGTATTGAAGGAAAGGCAATTTTCTCCTTGTGTAACTTTGCCTTTTAGCTGCTCAGCTTATTCTCACGTGATACTATGGAGGGTGGCTAGTTGGGGATCTCACTTTCTCACAACCCACTGATGTGGCTGTGCTGAGAGCTGTTTTCTACAAGTGCACTGCTGGATGAGTTTGGCTCTAACAAGTGCGGAGTTTGCAGTCCTGTGCTGTTTTGCTGGGAGGGGATTGCAGGATGGAGCAGACTTTTTTGCTTACCAAGGCTGGTTTAGGAACTGTTCTGCACTGTGGGCTGTAGTGAAACTGATCTGCTGAGCATATATGTGTTGTGCACTGTATGTGCAAGAATTGTGTGTGGGTATAATGGAGAATGCTGTTGGAAAGCATTGTCTTTTTGCAGCT